ATCTCCGCGTGGAAGAACGCCACGCTGGCATCGCACAGAGCCACACTTGCCTCAGCCCCGATGGGGGCTTCGAGGCAGCCAGGGACACCACCAGCCGCAAATAGAAGAGGTGCGGCGCACCTGCCGCCGCGTCGTCGCGCTCGACCAGGTTGAAGCCCATGGCAACGAGTCGACCTCACGAAGGGCGTCCGGTCTGGCCTGTATCGTAGTCCGTCAAGCCACTTGCTCCGTGTGAGCCTGCCCACGCCGATGTCGTCGGACACGTCCTCGTGCGCCCCGAACGCGGCCATCTGGTTGAGCTCCTGCCGGCGCCCCTGCACCGCGAGCTCCCTCGGCAACACCTCGCCCGAGCGGCTGTCGTACACCGCCACCTCTGGCACGAGGTCGCACGCCCATGCTGTCGGAGTCTCCCGATCACGCACGGACGCCGCGAACAGCTGCAGCCGCTCGCAGTCTTCGCCGTCGAGCCCCAAGTAGGCAGGTTCGCTGACGTCCACGGGCACCACGGGGTTGGCCACCCTGGGCGCCTTGAACAGTGGCTCGCCGTCCGCGGGATCTGCTGGTCGGCTCCTCGAGTCTATGTCCATCTCCGCGGAGTCGCCCGCTGGGCCACTCTCCGCAGGAGGTGGCTGGGACGAACTCGCCGCTGCTGCTACGCCACCCGCTGCCGCTGCCATCGCGGCTGCGGGGTCGACTGCTGCCGCATCCACCTCCATCTCTGGGGCTGCTATGGCGTCGCCTGGCAAAGGTTGAACCGCTGCCTGCTGATTCGCCTCGTCCAAGAGCTCCCCCTCCATGCGCTTCGTGCGCTCGTGAGAGTGCGCTGCCTCGCCCCCCCCAGCGCCCCGGGCAGTTTAAGCTGGGCCCGTAGGTCTGCATCATCCTTTTCGTCACGTAAATAACCCGTCCGAGCCTCGGCTCGGGTAGGGGTACTGGCGGAGCGTCCTGAGGTCCTGGAGGTGGTCGCGCTGGTTCCTCACTGGAGCTGCTGCTGCTGCGCCGCTACTGCTTGCCGATGGATGCGCCTCCTCGGCCTGGCGCTGCCGTGCCTGCGCCTGCCGCGCCCTCGCCGCGTTGCCTCCGCGATGGAGCTCGGCGCCGCCCCGGGGCTGCCCTGCAGCGGTGTCTGCCCGCTCGGGCTTGGACTGGAGGTCCCAGGGCAGGCCCGCGAAGCTGTTCAGCGCGTCCACGTTGAACCTCCGCTCCTTCGGCTGCCTCCTGATGGCCCGATGCCGACTGGTCTGCCGCGACCCGCCGACCAAGTGCCCGTCGCTCTTCTCGGTCTTGCCCAGCCAGACACCCAAGCGCCACTGAGCCTATGCCTTCTGCGTGAGGTCGCCTGACGGGCGGGCCCAGACGATCCCTCCGAGCGTGGCCACCTCCCCACGGCATGGCTCGCCTCGATTGACGTGATAGGCCGTCTTGCCAGCGGCCTGCCTGGCAGCAAACCGTGCGAGGAGCCATCCAGCGAGCCTGACCACCGGCGGCGTCACCCCGTGGAACACGGGGACGCGCGCGCCCACGCCTGACTCGAGGTGGAGCTTGATCACGAGCACCCGGTTAGCCACCTGGTCGTTCATGGCCTCGATGAAACCCATCGACGCGCGGCTCCTGGCAGGCGCTGCCGTGAGCTGGCACTTGAAGCCCTTCAGCTTCCGCTCCTCGGAGATCTGCTCGGCCAGCGCCTGGACTGCTGGCCCCTGGTCGGTGCGCAGGATGCAATCCGCGATGCCCCAGGCGTCGCTGGCCGCACTCGCCGCAATGGACATGCAGGGATGCACACCCTTCGGCCCCAGGACCGCGCACCGCGGCCGACTGGCGGCGCGCCACCGCCAGCGCGTTGAGCAGCACCTCCACGCCGTCACCAGCGACTGGGTCCACCAACTGCGGCATCAAGACAGCCCGGTCGATCTGCCAATCCGCTGGAGCCAACCAAGCCATGCTGTCGGCTGAGGCCGCCAGCTCCTCGGCTGTGACCACAGCGCCGAGCTGCAGGTAGTCCATCTGCACCTCGTCGATGCTGCCAGGCCCGCCGCACTGTCGGCGCGGGTCGTCTGCCGCCTTGGCGGGCATGCACTTGTCGCACCAACCTCGCGGCGGGAGGTGAGTGAGCTCGTGCTTGTCGATCTCCTCCTGGCTGGGGGGCGGTGGCGCCCGCTTCGCCCTCGCTGGCACCCCGTCGGGCTCCGCCTCTGCCAGCGGCGCCTCCTCGCGTTGCGGCTGCTCGGCCGCCGCGGGAGCTGCTGCCGCGGGCGCCTCGGCCCCGACTGGGTTGAGCCGTAGCGTCTCGGACGCCGTCGCGGTGCCTCCCGCGACGCGCTCTCGCACCCAGAACAGTTTGTCCTGCCGCACCAGAGGCGCGTTGGCGATGTCCTCAGGGAGGCTGAGCGCCGCGGGCGCGATGCACGAGATCGTCGGTGGGAACAGCGCAGAATGGCCGTTGTAGATGGAAACTGCGGAAGTCCTGGGCGCGCAACATGCTTTCAAAAAAAAAAAGTTGCGAACCTGGGGTTGTAGGCAAACCGCGGCTGTCCGTACTCCAGATTTCGCAATAACAGGGAGGGGGTCTGGACCCTCCAAGACAAGCCATTGCAGACCTCCCCCGTGGGAGAACACTCCAAAACATCGTCCCCAGACCCCCCAGGGCCTCCAAGATAGCCTGGAAGAGACCCCCCCCGAAATGAGCCCCCCCCCCCTCCCTTTATTACGAAATCTGGAGTAATGAAATGCCATCTGAGCGGGCGAGAACTCAGGAATCTACATGGGGGCCTGCCGAAGCGGTGCGAGGGCCGTGTGGCCCATCTCGGAGCCACCTCGGATTGTCCTCGGGGCGTCTTGGGACTGCCGCTCGCCCGTGTGCACGCTTAGGTGACCGTGGACAAGGCGCCCTGTAGAGCTGGAATTCCTGGGTCTCTGTCCCCGGGCTGTCATGGAGCCGCTCATGGGCAGTTTGGGAGTCGTCTAGGGCCCTCAGCGGATTATAAGAGTATAGAAAAGGGAAAGTACCAGTTCGGGCGGGGCGCCATTCTCTGGTAGTTGCTCGGCGCGAGCACCTACTGCTGCAGCGTCCACGTGCATATATGCTCTGTGCCCGTTAGCGATCATCTTCTTGATGTGGTGCTTCACCACATCCCGCCGCACGGTGGCTTGATGGATGAATGTCGGCAAATTGTCCTGTGACGTCGCGTCTCTCACCTTCAACAAAATTTGAACAACGTGGGAGAGATCGTGGCCCACACGCGGTGCAGGCGCACCACCCGTGTGCTCTCCTGACGCGACCCTTCTCCGAAGCTCTGACAAGATGCCCTGCCATGGGAGGGCGAACGAGGTTGCATTCCCCCGAGCCGCGACTCGCGTCTCCTGCATCCCAGCTACGGAATCAAATAAGTTCTGGTACTTCACCTCCAACGAGAAACATATCATGGCAGTTATGCACGGACTGCAACAAATCATCTCCATGACGGTCATCCCCTCGTCGTACATGCTTTTCGGACCGTGAAACGACATCAGATCGTTCGCCAAGCATCGCGCGGGCATCACCGGAACCATCACGTGGGACGTTTCGTTCCACGCCCGGTTCGGAGCATCTATACCTTAAAAGCACTCCCGACATAACGGAACCTCGCATTGAGTACAGACTTTCCTCTTTGCCCGACATCCTGCAGTGCACCGCTGGTCCTCTGGACAACATATCAACTCCAGGTGGCCCCGAGACACTCCAGTAGACGACGCGCACCACGCACGCACCGTCCAGTCGTCAAACTCCTCCATATGCTTCTGGAGATCGAGTTTATCGTTCCCTTCCTCGTGCCTGTACCTGCTCAGATATGCCGCCCGTGAGGCTCATCTCCTGAAACACATCCCACATAGACCGCGCTCCCATGTGCGTCAATCCACTGCCATCCCGCGCGTCGCTCTCGAAAACTCGATCCCACGAAATATCATTATTTTCCGTCCCGACACCCACGGAAACGAACAGCTGCACACGAAACATATCGGCGATGCTACCTTCTCCTGTGTCACTGTTTCTGCATACGCTTCCAGACTTCTGCGGTGCGTCGCACGCGACGATACTGGAGCTCCTAGCCGTACAGCGTACGCGACGACTTCACTGTAAGCAGTGAGCACTCGCTTCTGCAGCGAGTGCAGGGGCGAATACATGTCCGCGATCGGCTGCACGACATCTCCGCGTGCTGCTACGCAGACATGGTTGAGATGCTCAGACTCGTCAACGCCAGTCCAGGTGCAACCTCGGAAGGCAATGTGAGTTGGTGACAATTCAACCGCGTCGTTTTCGACCAAAGCTGCCCCCCACGGTTCATTGGGGTTCTCTGGATCCGCGGGCACAGTAGGGACCTCCCGCAACAGTTTCGCTGCCGTTGCCACCGCTTCTTCCCGCGCCCGTCGTGGATCAGTCGACGCTGGGTTGACGCGCGCTGCAAAAAAAACATCTCTTGTGTCGTATCCGCCTCTGGGACTGCACCCGCTGCGGCACCATCCTGAACTGGCTTGTCGTTGTTGTCGGCTGTTGCTGCACCTGCGGTCGCCCCAGCACCTGCCTCGGGCTCGTTTCTGCACGAAAGATCACGTGTCATGGACGAACACTGCGTGGGCTCTTTCGCGCTGGTTCTATACGACTCGCAGAAAGTTTATTTCTGTTTCCCCGGGCGCCTCATTCGCTTCACCCGCGCACCCTCCGTGGAACCTGCGCCCCCCTCTGGCTGACGGTTGCCGACAGGGGCGCCATGCAAAGACGGAGACGCATCATTCACACCATCGCCCGCCCTCGACGGCGCGCGCGTTGATGTCGCCTCTCCATCGACGCGGCCCACAGCAACCTCGCTTTCCAGCGACGTTTTGGCAGCGCCGTCGTGGTCTACGGATTCTGCATGTCCACGGTTCCCTACACCCAGCTCGTGCGCAGCTTGTCCCGCGTCGGTCGTTGCTGACGACATTGGGGGTCTGTCGCGCAACGACAACGGCCCCTCAGTTGACGACGCCGTTAAATTGGCGGCATCTGTCGGCACGACTGCTTCCGTCCGGTGCCTCGAGAACACCACAAGGGCAATGTCTCCCTGGTTCTTCGGATTCTCTGCAAAATCCTGGAACTCTGGCCGCGCAACTACGTCGTCGTCGAACCTTACGACACCGACGCCAGGGCAGTAGGCGACGTAATGAGCTGGTTGCTCCAGATGGCAAATCGCGCCCTGGAACCGGCATGTCCAGCCCGACGCCCCTGGCCACTCGAACGCCCTCGGCACGCTTACGCGGGCATTCACTCTAGTCATTCCGTCCGCTATTCTTCTGCTCCAGACCGCAACGTGGAATCTTGCAGGCGTCTCCGATGGCACGTCGTGAATTTGCGACGGGCCCTGGCGCCCGTGCCACACCTCTCCGTCTTGCAAGGCGGGTCGATGTGGGCATGGCAAACCGCGCTGAGCTCGCGTGGATTCCAATGCCACCAGATGATCAAGACCAACTGGGCCCAACATATCCGTATATTCCCACATTTGGATTATCATGGATCGTTCTCGTCTGTAAACATCCGAAACCCAACCGCAATCGCCGCAGAACCGCCTTTGACGGATTGTGTTTCCCAGTATGGACCCGTCTACCACTGTGTAGTGCTGCGCAAGGATTCCCCTGCCCGTCAACGTACTGGACTCCGCAGCACAGACAGCATCAACTAATGCGCTCCGCAGCTCGCCGGCGTCGCACTGGCGAGCGCCCCTAAAAATATTTGCGCGACCGCGCTGAAACAACCCATCGCGCACCGCTCTCACTCCTGGAACTTGTTCGCTTTTATCTACAGGAAAGTCGCCGAGAGATGCGCCCATCAGATCCGCCTGCTGTGCTAGCGCACACACGCCGCACTGATGACGCCCTCGGACGCTGCATCCGAGTCGATGGAGCAACACTGCGTGCCGAATAGGTCCCAGACGCAGCAACACTTGCACTGCGGCGTTCGCAAAACACGAATTTCCAATGTTCGGCACACCCTTTATCCGCTCTCGAGCGCGCGCCCAGGCCCCATCCTCCAGCACGACGCGAGCGGAGTCACCGTACAACGCGGCCGCCAGATCCTCTTCTGACACAGCTGGTCGCACAAGCTCCAACAATGTGCTCTCGTTTGGGCGTTTCGCCAGAATGTCCTGCACGGTTGCGCCCCTTCCCGTATGGTGCCGCTCTTCCACTGCCACAACGCTATTTGCACTTGCACCGTCCGCGCAGGTCTTCACTACCTGAGCGATCTTAGATGATGGCACTGGTGTGCTACCCCCAACCGAAGAATGAAGCCGCGGAGCATGCTCTGCTTCTCCCTCTACAGCGTCGCGCGCGAGCACATCTCCCCCGCTGACCACGCGAACAACGTGTTTCATAGACATCCATATTACTGCTCCTGCGCACACGCCGTGGACGTCGCCAAGCTTCCATCTATGCCGCAACGCGGCGGTCATGACTTGCTGCGCGCCCTTCGCTTCATACACCCACACAAAGACGCGCTCGTCACGCGGCCGCGTCTGAACAGATTGGAGATTTTGTCTCTCTATCGACTCGCCACTGCCACCCCCTGACGCCATGTCGTTTCTACACTCCGTTGCAAACCTTCGCAATGCTTGCCGGCGCCACCGCCCCCCACGCAGGCTCGCGCACGCGACTTGTAAACATTTATTTTCATGGCGGCCAATGCTAGATACATCGCACACCAGTACCACTGCCGACTCGGCATCGGCAATCCCGGCATGAACATCCTGCGCGACCTCCGCTCGCGGCACCCAGCCACCAAGAGTTTTCTTACCAGCAGTGACGCGTGCAGCCCGGCCGTGGGACCTGAAAGCTGGGAGCTTTATGCTGCGGTTACGCTTCACGCTGGAACGCGACCACCACGAAAATTTAGAAATTTGCGAGACTTTCCCCTCGCAGCGACTTCCTTGCTCGAAAGAAGACTGCCACTGTCGCGTCCGCCACGAACCCCATGCGGACGAACGCCGCGACCTCCACAAGATCCTCTGTCCACGGCGTAGACCACCCAGAAACGCAGAATTAAACATTTGCGAGCGTCTCCCCCTTCTACAACTGCCAAGTAATCGGGAACGAGGACGACCCCGCGACCGCTCAGCAAGGCGTAGTATAGCCAAAAACGTAAATTTAAAAAATGTGCGAGCGCTTCCCCCTTCTACGACGCCCACGCACGTAGAAACGCAAATTTCAACATTCGCGAATCTCCCCCTTCTACCACAACACTCGCCGACAACATAACCACGACGAAGACCACCGCGCCGAAACGGAACTTTCAAAATTCGCGAGCGATTCCTCCTTCTACGCCGACGATGCAATACGAAATAATGACGGCCCCGTCTCCGCAACGCCTTCACTTTCCGCCAACCATCGCGCCGCCGCGCTGACGACGCCCCTACACTGCCGCCGACCATCGGGGCCACGTTCCGCCGACTGTCGCGCCGACCACCTTCGATGCCGCCACGACGGGGCCGCCGACCGTCGCAATCAACAATCGACTGCCAAAGCAACAACTTCCATGTCACCAGGTCGACACTCGAGAAAAAGTCTTCACCAGAATTCCCACGGCGGCGACGAAAAAAATAAAAACACTATGCAGGGGGGGTCCCAAATCTGGCGGCCAACGCCCCGGACCCTAAGTAAGTGTTACGAAAAATTGGCGGCGGCCGCGCGCAAAAGCCAAACCGACAATATAAAGACGAGGGCGGCGGACCCCGCGCACACTATATGTACTGCGTGACATGAGCATGGAAAGATATCGGTGTAGGTAATGTATGTAGACGTGCTTAACTCGCGCGCATACGTGCGTACATTCTTACCACATATATTTTGATTTGAAGATCGTCAATACGAGCCGGAATCCGACGCCGCAGCCCAATTCAAAAATACCTCCGTTCTCTTATCCGAAAGCGCCCGCAATCGCTTCCAACATCAAGCGAAACCTTAAACCCACGAGCGCGCACCGAAAGCACAAGTAACAAAACATGTCCAAGAAATGTCTGGAAATATCACGCTTCGCCGTCGTTTACCCCCCCTAGACCCGAACTCTCCATGCCACCGCGACGAATTACACAACATAGTTCTTCTGACCCCCCCCCCCAAGGCCCGAAACACCCACACAAAAGGAACAACCGCGCAACCGCGACGAACTGCACAACGCAATTCTGTTTCGAAGGGAGCAAACGCGCAACCGCGACGAGGCCTCTGGCCCACGGACCAGGCGCGGTAGCGGGGTGGGCTGAAGGCAGTCTTACAAACAGCCGATGCAAATTCGCGGCGGCGGCGGCGGACATTAGGTGCACTTTGCAAAAGACGGATTCGGCGACGGCGCCCCGCCCAGAGACTGGGTGGCGTGGAGGCTGAGTGGACCAGGTGATCTTCCATGCGCCGGCCTCGAAAGGTCCGGCGCATTGCAGGGCGTGGTTCCTGCAGACCCACGGCTTTTGTGGAAAACCGGTAATCCCTCGATTGTACCCCGCCGCGGCCGAAGCCGGGCTGACGACTCCGATGGGAGACTCCGTAGAATCTCCCATCGAAGCCGCGGGCCTGAGACAACCAGTAAACTCCTTGGTTGATTGAGGCTCAACCGGTAAAGCGTTCATCGCCCACCGCACTCGCGCCCCGGCGGCCCTCCCGGGGAAGGGCCCGGGCTGAGGGGGGGCTTGCTGTAGCAGCTCAAGGCTGCTTGAGCCTGGCGAGCACGCGGCGTGTGATTCCTAGCAGTAACTCCCTGCTTGCATTGTTCCCCCCCCCCCGCGCACAAACAATACAATTTCTTCCGCACGCGCGCGCGCACGCACGGGCACTCTTACCTTGTACTGCGCTGGACTCTCCCCAACATGAGTCCTTCACTTCCTGCTCCTCCTCCTCGTCCTCCTCCTGATCATCTTCCCCCTGCTCTTCCGCCTCCTCCCAAATTCTCGTCCCTCAAGGCTTCTCCGCCTTCTCCTCATGTTTTTTCTTTTCCTGCCCTGAAGCCCTTGGGGGCCACGCTGCTGGGGGACCTCCTGCGGGCCGTTTTTTTGGGGGGGCGCTCCCCTTTCGGCAGGGGGGCGAGAGACGCCGCGGAGGCGAGCGAGTGGGAGGAGGAGGAGGAGGAGGAAGAAATACAGGAGAAAGCGGAGGAGGAGCAGGACCGGAAGACATAGAAAACACGTTCATAATTCGACCGTGGACCATCCGCCGACCCCTTGGGATCATCGGCGTGCGACGCGCGTCCCCCTCCCCCAAACCCCCCCCAAAACCCCGGCCCGCTCGACTTGGACGGCGATGTGCCCCACCGGTCCCCCCGCCCCAACCAAGGAAGATCCCCCACCGGCCAAGAATCTCTGGTGGCCGCGAAAAAGTCCCAGGACGCTCCACGACGAGTCAGGATGACCACCACTTGGATCATATTGGCCCCAAAGATGCCCCATGATGCCTTCAAGACAGCACATGAGGCCCCCGAGACGCCCCAAGAAGCCTACATGAACCCTCGCACAAGGGCCTCTATGGGTACAACTCGTCCCAATCCCTGAGGAAACGCACATTTTCATGATATACCCAGCTCCTGTTTCATCTGCTCCCGAAAGGACGCTCCCCAAATCGCCCCCAGACGGCCCTCCAAGAGACCCCCACGAGGCCCACACGAGCTTCCACGGTAAGCCCTCCCCCTATCAATCCCGTCCATGGCACCACGGCGACGGCGACGCGCCGCCAGTTCCTGAAGGGGTCGGCGGATGTGGCGTAAGCCTATAGAATCATAATCTTCAGTCGACAGCATCGCTGACCGCAAGTCCCATGACTGGTTCTTTACCGGATCGGTGAAGGTCCAATCCATTGCCTCCTTCTGGCACTGCGCGGTGCACAGGCCATCTGCACCCGCAGAGTTGCAAAAGTCCAGACATTCAGAGAGCTCTCCGTCCATGACACCTACGGCAAAGAGGCGGAACTCACTAAATCGCATCAGAGTAACGAAGTCGTACCTTGCATACTCTTCCTGCGTGACGGTAAAGTTGTATCCGATGAGCATGGTCAGGAACAGGGCGCTGGCCACGCCCGAGAGCTGCAAGAGCGCATCCAGGTCGTTGAACTTGATTGACAAAAAAAAAACTACACCTGCCAAGCGTCCTCATCATTGCTGCGGCTTCACCCTGGCCACGCGTCCTCACCGTCAGGGGGATCAATGCAAAGTGCACGTTTGGCGAAAGCTGGCGGTCTCAATCAAAACGGATTGCAAAAACGGCTTGAGCCTTGAGCCAAAATGGCTAGGAATGGGCCCTGATCTGTCTTGGCACACCTGATATGGGTACGGACAACGAAACAAAGTACGATGCCCCATCGCACACGTCGTCCAAAACTGGCAGCGGCCGCCGTTGTGCAGTTGACTTTTTGTGTCAAATGAAAAACGTCCGCGGCGACGTTGCTGCAACGAGTCCTGTTCAAGATGGACAAGAATTGCTGCCGGCACTCGTCCCCCGTTTTTTCCTATCTGAATCGCACTGACGCTCGACAGGTTGTGTTGTCTTGGAGTCGTGTCGTATGCTGGTCAGTGGCTTGCTGTGCAGTTGGTACCGATGGGCTGGAAGGTGGGTCCTTCTCAATTGCCGTACTGATGTTGCTGGTGGTATTTGCTGTTCCCTTTGCCTTTGCCTCCGGCATGGGAGGTCTGTGTGGTCGGACATTGTGTAGTGTGTCGGACGTGGTGGCTGTTGTGCGCTGTGTCGTTGGCCGAGCAGTTGTCGTGCCTTGTGGAGATGATGCTGGGTGTCCTCCTCAAATAGGGTGCGTGCTGCACTCTAGAGGCACTGGAGGCAAACAGCAACAAAAAACGTTCCCTCCCCTCCCCAAGCCTGCGATGGTTCGGCTTGCTTGATTTGGGTCACCGAACTTCGCGCACCGCGCCTTGCCGTGCGCGGTTATCTGTCCACCCTCCAGCCCGCGCGCCGCCCCGTTGGCTCAGGCCGCGGCCGAGAATATCTTCGCGTCCCCACGGGTGACCTAGTTGACACATGGGGACCTATGGGCCCTGATCTGTTTTTTTTTCCCAGCCATCCTGTGGTGTTGGGTCCTCGTTTTGAAGAGACAGCGCCCCGCGTCCCACCTCCTCTCCTCCTCCTCCCCCTCCTCCCTCCTCCCATCATCATCATCATCATCATCATCATCATCATCATCATCATCATCATCATCATCATCATCGTCATCATCATCGTCATCATCATCATCATCATCATCGTCATTGAAATCGTCGTCATCGTCATCGTCATCACCCACTTCGGCACACCCCTCACACGTTTCGTGGCCCCATAGGGAGCTCCACCGAAGGCCCGAGGGCTGCCGCCCGCATGCGTCCCCTACACCCATTTCGGCACACCCCTCACACGTTTCGTGGCCCCATAGGGAGCTCCACCGAAGGCCCCAGGGCTGCCGTCCGCATGCGTCCCGCACACCCATTTCGGCACACCCCTCACACGTTTCGTGGCCCCACAGGGAGCTCCACCGAAGGCCCCAGTGCTGCCGTCCGCATGCGTCCCGCACACCCATTTCGGCACACCCCTCACACGTTTCGTGGCCCCATAGGGAGCTCCACCGAAGGCCCCATGGCTGCCGTCCGCATGCGTCCCGCACACCCATTTCGGCACACCCCTCACACGTTTCGTGGCCCCACAGGGAGCTCCACCGAAGGCCCCAGTGCTGCCGTCCGCATGCGTCCCGCACACCCATTTCGGCACACCCCTCACACGTTTCGTGGCCCCATAGGGAGCTCCACCGAAGGCCCCATGGCTGCCGTCCGCATGCGTCCCGCACACCCATTTCGGCACACCCCTCACACGTTTCGTGGCCCCACAGGGAGCTCCACCGAAGGCCCCAGTGCTGCCGTCCGCATGCGTCCCGCACACCCCGGCACACCCCTCACACGTTTCCCCATAGGGAGCTCCACACCCATGGCTGCCGTCCGCATGCACACCCATTTCGGCACACCCCTCACACGTTTCGTGGCCCCACAGGGAGCTCCACCGAAGGCCCCATGCTGCCGTCCGCATGCGTCCCGCACACCCATTTCGGCACACCCCTCACACGTTTCGTGGCCCCACAGGGAGCTCCACCGAAGGCCCCAGTGGCTGCCGTCCGCATGCGTCCCGCACACCCATTTCGGCACACCCCTCACACGTTTCGTGGCCCCACAGGGAGCTCCACCGAAGGCCCCAGTGCTGCCGTCCGCATGCGTCCCGCACACCCATTTCGGCACACCCCTCACACGTTTCGTGGCCCCATAGGGAGCTCCACCGAAGGCCCCATGGCTGCCGTCCGCATGCGTCCCGCACACCCATTTCGGCACACCCCTCACACGTTTCGTGGCCCCACAGGGAAGGGATGCACACCCATTTCGGCACACCCCTCACACGTTTCGTGGCCCCACAGGGAGCTCCACCGAAGGCCCCATGGCTGCCGTCCGCATGCGTCCCGCACACCCATTTCGGCACACCCCTCACACGTTTCGTGGCCCCATAGGGAGCTCCACCGAAGGCCCCATGGCTGCCGTCCGCATGCGTCCCTTTCGGCACACCCCTCACACGTTTCGTGGCCCCATAGGGAGCTCCACCGAAGGCCCCATGGCTGCCGTCCGCATGCGTCCCGCACACCCATTTCGGCACACCCCTCACACGTTTCGTGGCCCCATAGGGAGCTCCACCGAAGGCCCCAGTGCTGCCGTCCGCATGCGTCCCGCACACCCATTTCGGCACACCCCTCACACGTTTCGTGGCCCCATAGGGAGCTCCACCGAAGGCCCCATGGCTGCCGTCCGCATGCGTCCCGCACACCCATTTCGGCACACCCCTCACACGTTTCGTGGCCCCACAGGGAGCTCCACCGAAGGCCCCAGTGCTGCCGTCCGCATGCGTCCCGCACACCAGGTGTGTGGCGTGCCGACATGGGCGTCGCGGCGCGCGGGCGCTGCCGTCGGGGTTCCCAGGGAAGCCCCCTGCAGAGGCGACGCTCAGAGTCACGAGTACCGAGAGTCACGCAGACCCAAACTGTTCACAGTCGTATACATACATTTACACTGGGCGTATCCATGCACGCATTCATGCGAATAGAATCAATCGCGCGCAGATTCATTCATAATCAGACTCGCTCGCGATCCGACTCGCACGCGCTCAAGCTTTCATATTCGGACCTATCGTCTTCGTTCGTGTTGTGTACACTGCCACGCATTTCGGCACACCCCTCATACGGCTCGTGGCCCCATAGGGAGCGCCACCGAAGAAGATATTCACAATTGCGGTACTCTCAACTGCATATGGTTGGGTCCTTCGCCGGGCTAATTTTCCGAAGCACCCCTCCTGCTCACCCTGACCTGCTCCGTCCACCGTCTGCAATGGAGACGGCCGAACGCGGTTCCACGGAGTCGAGAAGCGCACACCCTTGACATCGATTCAAACAAGCGGCAGCACGCTACGCCTGACTCGCGCGTGAAGCGCTGGCAACAAAATCTGGCACGCAACACAGCGCCCCCGCTGGCTGGCCGTCCCCTGCCTACTCCACCGACCGACTGCTCCGGCTTCTTCTGCCACCATCCCTCCTGCTCACCTTCGACTCCTCTATTCACTATCGGCAAACTGCTGATCGCGGTGTCACGGGAAAAAGGCGCGCACACGCTTGCCATCGATTAAAACAAGCGGCAACGCGCCAAGCTTGACGACCATTCGGACGACCTGGCAGCACATTGCTTTGCAGGTGGGAGCAGGGAGGAGGGAGAGGAGGAGACCGCGGCGAGAAGGCAAAAGGAGGGAGGAGGTGGAACAATAATGATGCGTTGGATGGTTGAGCCGCAAGAGACATGGGCGCACAAGCCTCCTCCTCCTCCCCCAGCCCGTTCTCCTCCTGCCTCCGAACATGATCAGCAGGCGCAATCACAGTTTGTACAATCACGAGAACGAACATAACTATCGCACATGCGCAAAATGTAACAACTACTCAGGTGCATAAAATGTGACGGCTCTTGATCATGTGGTCCAGAGAGCCGAGTACCTTCAAATTGACATCCTTGTCCTTCGCGTTTGTGACCAAGATGTCGTTGTGAGACAGGATGCGGATAGCCTTCTGCGCATCAGCATGGTGCCAACTGTCGAGCACCCAGGGGGTGCAATTGAAACCCTTTACTGAGTCTATGCCGTGGACTTTCAATCGGAGTCTATCCTCGGTAGCTGGCACCAATCCGTCCTCGGTAGCCATCTTGGTGGCGATCCAAGACTCCACGTTTGGCCAAAACCGTTGATTATAGACACGCTCGTACAGCACAATAACCGTGCACCCGAGAAAGATGAAGGGCAAAATGTTCTCCAAGATCAGCCTGAACTCCTCCTCCTCCTCCTCGGTCCGCCCGCCGCCGTGCCATTGAGGTGCGCATACCCAATCCATCCATACAAACTTTATCGAGGGGATCTTGGCTAAAATGTCTTGCAACTCACACAATTTGCTGCCGTCCGGATCGGGGTGTTCTGGCTCTGGCCAGCGGTGGGACACTGCTGCCGTGTCAGCAACAAACCGCCCAGCAAGCACATCCTCCAGGGTCATGGTCCGCTTCACCAACAGACCGAGGTCCCTCAACACTTGGTGGCGGAAGACGGGGATGTTGCGCGGCATGTTCATGAGTTCTTCGACTGGCAAAAACCAAAAATCCATGGTCTCCAACAACTCGGTTTTCTGGTCCGCCTGGTGCTCACTAATCTCCGCGTCCAACTCCGACACGCTGATCTCAATCTGCGAGTCGAGCGCTGGGCCCCTGCCACAGCCGGGACATCCGCGCCTCATCAGACAGCCCAAGCCCAGCGCGACGCAGGCCAGAAGGACGATCACGACAGCAACGAACACTGTAAGCGATGCCTCGGAATCTTGCGGCTCCTCCGCCGATGGCGAATTGCTCGAAAAACTACCACCCAAATTGGTTGCGGTTAGTACCATTTCAATTGTGGTTGCGGTTAGTACCATTTCGGTGGTGGCTGTGGAGCTTGACGTGGAGAAGCTCGTGCCTGTCTCGGTGGTCGTCGTGGCCGTCCTGGCGATCGTCGTGGTAGTCGTCTTGGTGGTGCTGTTGCTGGGCGAGGCGGAACTCGTGTCCGTCTCGGTGGTTGTCTGTGTGGCAGTCTGGGTGGCAGTCTCGGAACTTGTGGCTGTCTGGGTGGCAGTGGTGGAGATTTGGGTGCTTGTTGTGGGCGGCGGCGGCGTAGGTGCAGGCGTCGGGGGCGGCGGCGTAGGTGCTGGCGTCGGCAGCGGTGGCGACGTGGGTGCTGGCGTCGGCGGCGCCCCGCCACCGCATCCACAACACATATCGGAGCTTGAGAAGTCATAATCGTCATACCACCACGAATAAAAAGTAGAACACCAAGGGGGATACGTAGTATAACTATCGCAACTCCGGCCCATCATGTCTGTAGCTCCGTCGTCGGTGTCCACACAGCCTCTGCTGCCGTCTCCACCCCCGCATGCACAGCACATATCAAAGGATTGGAAGTCCTCATCGTCATAGTGATAATAATCATCAAAATTAGAACAGCTCATGGGATAATGAGTATAAAATATGCAACCCTGGCCCATCATGTCTGTAGCTCCGTTATCGGTGTCCTCACAATCACCTTGCACGATACCGAGGAGGGGCGCGATAATGACAGCTGCATGGAGGGGAATCATATCGAGCACGCGCGCGGGCCAGATGAACGGATGTTGGTGAGCAGAAGTAGCGCCTGTGCCACCCCGGCCTGAGTCCAAATGCCACGAGCTTGAACTACCGTGTCGGAGGGGCTGTATCGGACCTTCTCGGTACGTGTTGGAGCTCTCGGGGGCCTCCAGGGCCGTCTTGGGAGCGTCTTGGGCCGTCTGGGGCGCTGTGAAAGCCCAGAAGCCCAGAAATCGAATATGCTAAAAATACGTTTTCCTAACGGAATGGGACGGCGTTTGTTTCTTAGGCCCTCTTTGGGGCTGTCGCGGTGACACCCGGGGCCGCGTTGGAGCTTTGGTGGGCCGCTTTGGGGGGCCTCGAGGGCCAGTCGGAGGCCATATTGGGCCGTCTTGGAAGACTATCAGGTTTTCTGGCGCCTCCAAGGGTCGCCTGGCGAGGCTCCTTGGGTGAAGGGGCACCGAAACATGAGGAGAGGCCGGCCGGGGGCCCCGGGCTTGGGATCTCTCTTATACGTCTACAGGTCTACATATAGATATACAAGACTGCACTGGCGTTTCGCGCCGTGCATCTTGTTTCGCAGCCTCTCGTCTGAAAAACATTCCACATTTTTTCTCTGACTTCTGCTCCGTTGACCCTGGTGGGAGTGGGGAGAAGTTGAGTTTGTTGGAAGCTATTGTGGTACTTTCGGGAACCTGGCTTGGGCCTCTCGGGGGGGCTGGAGCCTGTTGGGGGCCTCTGTGGGGGTCCTTGGGGCCTTTCGGCGACAGTTTTGGAGTCTCTTTTGGCTGTCTTGGGCGTCTCTTGCGTCGATTTGGGGCCCTCTTGGACCGTCGTCGGGGCATTTCGGGCCCGGTTGGAACAGTTAGGGGGTGTCTTGGTCCGTGTTTGAATCCCGGAAGGCGCAAAACCCGTACATGTTAGAAATGTGTGTTTCTCCATACGAATTCGACGGTTGTGGCCTTTTGGGGCTCCCTTCGGAAGCCTCTGGCGGGTTCCTCGGGCCGCTTTGCTGCGAACCCGGGTTCCCTCAACGACCGGGTCGCGATGTGGATTGCTTTGGGGAGCGTCCTGGAGCCGTCCTGGGCCGTCATGGGCATCTCTTGGAGCCATATCAAGGCCCTGTTGGACCATCTTGGCGCCAGCTTGGACTGTCCGGAGGCTGGTCTGTTTGGGTTTGGGACGATCTTCGGTGCCTCTCGGGCGGTCTCGGACGCCCGGAAGACCGAAGAACCGAGGTTCCAAGAATCTCTGAACAAAAACTATGCGGAAATCGATGTTTTTTTGGTCGCATCGAGGTGCAAATCGGAGTGTTCTTTGGGCCGTCTTCGGGCGCACGGTGGGTTCTTGGAGCCGCTTGGTGTTTATGGGGTTAGAGTACAAAGGTACAGAACCCCTGATCCGCTGGTAGAGGAAAGGAGGGGAAGATGGATACCTTTTCCTCCTGCACGATCGAAGGACTGATCGATCTAATCCAATACCTGAGCCCAAACGGCCAGGCGCAGGAGAGGTGAGGATAAGGAGTATATATGAGGGTATTATACGGGTTCTATTCACACACCCCGTCCCGAATCCCGCCCGCGAGGGCAGGACTCGGGAAAAGGAGAAAAGAACCTGTCACTCTTTTACTCCTCAAATCCTCAGCACTGCGAGGCAGCTGAGCGTGAAATCTGCATCGCTTCAGCTGCGCCCCGATCACGACAGCGGTGCGCAGAAGGTAGCGTAGCACAACGGCTGTCATGATCAGGCAAGTAAGGGTAAGAAGGAACACTCAGGGTCCCTGTTTCTTCGCCAAGCACACTTTGGCGCCCCCTCGGTGCGCCCCCAAAAAACGCCTCGGCACTCGAGGGCGGAGAAGAATGAGACACGGGTGGGCGGAGCAAGAGGAACTTATCAAATTAAAGCAACATCAGAAGCTGCCGCGCCTGAACGCGGCAGGTGTTGCCACCAGCTCTCAAACCAAAACTGAGCATCAAATCGTTCTCAACGCAATGAAATTATACTGTAAACAATAAGCAAACAACTTTGTAATATCGAGTCGTGTTGAGGAACACGATCGTGGTAATAACCACGTCTAAATATCAAAGCAAAAGCGTGGCCACGCGTAACGTCGCGTTGACAAGCGCGAAAAGTTGCATACATAAATTCTGCAAGTGGTTACTTCCCTCGGCGGTGCTCCTTAGGAGTCTGCCCTGGGTTTCACAAGTGTGAGCGTGGCCACTTTACTTGGATAGTGAAGTGGCCTAAAATTATATTGTTATTCACTGATCGAGGCGAACTTGTATAAATATGAAGTTCAAGCCAATCGAGCAGTGGGCCTTGCGGCCGACTAAACTACGAGTTTCCTCTCATGTAGAACCTCTGGCCCCACGCCCTGTGGCCATCATCCGCGACGTAGCTCATCGTGAATGTCTCCCAGGGCGCCCTGGGGGTCCAGTTGGGAAACCTGTCGTTGTGCAGCAGGTCGCGGACGCACGCGAACTCGTCGTTGTTGTCCGCGATGTATATCCAGCATTTTGCGCGGTAGCCCCAGCACCTGGGGCCCCGCTGGCTGTCCTCCAGGTTCTTGCGCCACCACGTCGCGTAGTCCTCTGTCGCACGCGCCCGCTTGGCACGTGGAGGCGTTGTTGGTCTGCGGCTGGTGTCGCTGCTCTGCCGCTGCGCGGCGGCCGCGCCGCGCGGCCCAGCGGGCGTGTCATCCTGCGCGCCAGAGGCGCGGGATCCAGCGGCATCGCCATGGGCAGGGCGAGGCGGCGGCGGGCGCCGCGGCTGCCGCGGCTCCATGGCGCCATGTGCATGTGAGGAGTGTGTGTCGGGGTCGTTAGGATCGGTTATAACCCCTGAACTCACCCCCCTTTGATTGGCAGATCCCATGGCAGGTTCGACGGAGGCCAGTTTGGCAAGCTTGCGCTGCGTGGCGTTCTCACAAGTGCCGCCCCGGCGGGGCAGAGCAATTGTGATAAGGCTACGCTCTTGCCTGGTGCCCCTGTCGAGTCTACCACTGTTCAACCACCAATTCCTGCGACCAGCGAAGCCAAGCCTAACGCTGTGATCATGTATGTCACAAGCGTCGCGCATGTCTTCGATGGTCCAAGCCTTTTTGCCAATCTCAGTGCGAGCGGCAGTCATTTGGTGGTGGAAACGTGGGTCATTGAGGAAACGCTGCATGAGATTGGCAAAGGGGTGGCATAGAGGTCGCTGATGCTCAGCCTCGCCCATCATCCTGCACATGTGTGCGGGAGGGGAGCCTGCGTCAAGCCATCTCTTATACCTCTCCTCTGCCTTCTTCGCGAATCTCCTCAAGGTATCCTTCTCCTGGCCAGCCTTGGAGCGCCTGCCCATCATGTAGACACGCGCTCCATCTGACATGTACCTGGTGACATCGTCCTGGGAGAGGTTCGTCTTGATCCAGTAGTTCAACTGCTGGAGGTGCGCAAGGTCGCTCTCCACGGCGCCACCTTGGCCCGTGGCACCTACAGAGACAGTGTACTGCCAGCAGATATCACAAATTGTACCGTCACCCGTGACGATTCCCAGAGACAGGAAACGATCGCAATTCCGACATCGCGCTATATCATGCTGGATCGCTTCAGGAGCCCCGGAAGTGGCAAGGTCCCTGAGAGATCCCCAGCGGGCGATGCCACCATCAGTGGATGCAAGACCATGGCCGATTTGGTTCATCGCCTCACGATGGATCTCAGCGGTCGGACGGGAGGCGATCGATCGGCCGATCCCCTCGATCTCGATCCTAGACAGTATTTCCCCCGGTAGTCCTGCGTACCCCGAGGTGTCGGTGTCCGCAGTACCCATATCACCATGGTGAACGTTGCCCGCACGGATGCGGGTAGCCTCTGCCTGCGAGATGGCCTCGTTATCGCCCACCTCGCGGTCAATCTGCTGCGTCTCGGCTATGATCTGTACCATGGTCTCTTGGTCGGGAGCTGCAGAAGCAACGCTACCTGGATCCCTGGGGATATCCTGCTTGGCGCCTGGATCGTCCTGGTCAGGCGCAGCAGGCGTTTCCAATGCTCCTTCCATACGGGGAAGCCTGGGTTGCCATGTGTCTCGATGCATCCTGCGAAGAAAGCACGCAACGTATTGAGGGCAGGATGGTTCTGATAGATGGCATCGTTGGTGAACTGGTGCAACTCCTTGATGCTGTCCAACAATATGATTTGGTACACTTTGGAAATCCATTGAAATATGCCCGTGGTCGATTCCTCTAATCTCTGGGTCAAGGTAGTGTACCATCTTTTTGAAGAAACAATCTGCACTGCAAATCGGTAAGTCGCGTGCCCATTTGTGGGTATGATTGTAATCCATTTGGTATGTTTCTGTCTTTGGACCGAGATGTATCTCAAATCGCAGGCATGACTCTATCCTGTCCACCACAAGGTCGGCCCTGCCGGTGTGTAACTCAATAATTTGTTTCACCTTTATCATTGGAGAGTCCACCTATGGTTCCGACGTCCAGCGGTATACGCGGTGGTCGTAAGATTGTATAATCAATTTAGTATTGTCCTCTGGGTCGTAGTCGGGGTGGTTGGGGAAATCTTCTGGCGGACCAATGATATTATCAAGGATGGACGAGCCAACGTCATCATGAGCGTGAATCTCCGCCGATAAATCCGCCTTCATGGTAACATTGGCTGCTCTTTCCTCAGCTGTGAGTGGTGTGGTCGATATGTCGACGATGACAGTGACCAGAGGATCGGTGGATTGGCCTGCGTCGTGTCCGGATCCCTCGTCGTCTGCCGTGGGGTCTTCGGCAGGTGTCGCCACCAGCTCGTCGGGATCGGGTGTCCGAGGAGCGGGGCGTCTGGTCGGCGTACGTGGGATGCGTGGTTTGTAAATGCTCGGCATTCCAAGATATGGTAGACTACCTGTTTGTTTTAATTCATTGATCTGATCGCTGCATGAAGATGGGCCCTGAAGTGCGACATTCAGGTGAACTGGGTTGATGTCGGCACGTACTGGCATAGCGGAGACAACGCCCTTGAGGGGAATATTTTTG